TTTCTTTTCTTTTCTTTTCTTTTCTTTTCTTTTCTTTTCTTTTCTTTTCTTTTCTTTTCTTTTCTTTTCTTTCCTCTTGGCTGCGCTGGGAAAGGGCCAAGAACAGCTCGGAATTATGTATTCATTTGCAATTATTGGGCTGCAAGAGTGAATAACTGGCGTGTTTATCTGATCGGATTCAAAGCCGCTTATTTGAAATAATCGAGATTCCGCCCCCCTTTGGATAAAGGAGCGAGTCACGGGCACTGCAGGAATTGCCGGGAGTTTCTGGCGCTGGGAGCGGGGTTTGATCACCTGCCCCTGCGACCTCCTCCCCTGGGGACACATCTCCCCGCTCCTCCCCTTGCCAAGGAAAGTCGCCGAGCGCCAAGGAAAATCGTCTGGACGCCCCCGAGCTGCGAGCTCAGAGGATGTGGTGGGAAAGCAGGTTTGAAATTCCCGCTCCGAGAAGGCCCCGGCGGCGGCGGGACCGGCTGCCTTGTCCCCAGCCCGGCGAACGGGGCCGCTTCCAGCCGATCCCTCTCTGATCCCGGCTGGCGATGCAGGGGGGCTCCGGAGGGACACGGGGCTGAAGGCAGCGCTGCCCCCAGCTCCTCCCTGTCCCCAAACGGGAGCACGGGAGGGACGAGCATCCCCCTCGCAACGGAGCGCGGCTCTCTCCCCAGCGCGAAGCCGCCCCCGGGTGGGAAAGGGGCAGTTCTGGTCCCCTCTGGGTTCTCCGAGGAAAGTGAGGGGCAGAAAGCGCTGCTAAAACTCTACGCCCGCCACTGTGGCTGAGGGCAGCGCTGGGCGCAGTGAAAGTGAAATGCGAGGAGGAGGAGGACGAAGGGGGGAGGCAGGCGCTTCTTGAGCTCTGCACATTCTTGCTCCAGGATTGCGCATCCCCTTCTGGCTGGAACTGCCAGGCCAGCCCCGGACCCTTTGGAAGAGGGTCCCGAAGAGCCCCTCTCGCCCCGCAGCAGCGGCGCAAGCCCCGCGGCCGCAGCCTGCAGGGGTGAAAACGGCCCCAAAAGCAAGTGCGACCCATGGGCCCAATCCTGACCGGGTCCCCTCGGCGAAAGGAAGCAGCTTTCGTTGCACTTTTTCAGCGCATCATTTTAACAGCTAAATACCCACAGGGATGTGCCAGGCAGGTTCCCACTGTCCTCGTGAACTCCGGGCCGCGCTTTTGGGAACAGGCAGCGGCACTCGGCGGCTTTCGGGCATGTTAATCCGCACTGATTAACTGTATGCTAATCCGCCCCGATTTGTACTTCGCTTTGGCGTGTCTGAAGGTCTTGGTTGCCATAGATTATCCCTCTGTCCCCACTCTGTCCCCAAGCAGGCTCCCCCAGACCTGCCGACGAGATCTGAAGTGAAATGCACTGATTTGAAATAACAGGGACCTGTGAAATCAATAAATGACGGGGAGGAAATCAATAAATAACGGGGAGCCGCGTTTCTTGCTCCATGTCTACCCCTGGAGGAGCTGAGCTTGGAAACGCGTCGAGGGGCTGCCGAGCAGCGGCTCCAGTGACACTTTTACTATCGAAATACACACAGGCTTTACTGGCTTCTGGGGAAACCCGGGGGCCGGGGGAATTTTTGTATTTGCTGGGTTGTAAACGTTTTATTGGAAAGCGGCTCAGGGGAATCTGGTTTTCCTTTCTGCGCGGCGCCCCGCGCACGGACGTGTCAAAAAAAGAAGTCCAGGTTTCCCCCTTGGAGCAGGGTGGACACGAAGGGGCGCGGGGTCCGGTCCAGGTGCGGGTCCGAGCGCGGATCCGGGTCCAGGTCTGCGTCCAGGTGCGGGCCCGGCTCCCGCTCCGAGTCCAGGTCTAGGTCCAGGTGCGGGTCCAGGTTGGTGCCCAGGTCCGGGCCGCCCCGTCGCGGGGGGAGGCGGCAGTAGCGGCCCTACCTGCCGCCCGCGGCGCTGCCCTCCCGGGCGACCTCTCGGAAGCCGCCGCGGAGTTTCACTCACCGCAATTACTGTTTCTATCTCGCAGACGATCTCTCGGCCGCCCCGCTGCGCAGACAGAGGTATTTGTTTGATGTGTCGACGCTCTCGGACGCCGAGGAGCTGGTGGGCGCCGAGCTGCGGCTCTTGCGCCGGGCGCCGGGRGGCCGCGCGCCGCCCGCCGCCGCCCCGCACGTGCAGCTCTTCCCGTGCCTCTCGCCGCGCCCGCTGCTCTCCCGCACCCTGGACGTGCGGGCGGCCCCGGCCGCCGCCTGGGAGGTCTTCGACGTGCGCCAGGGCCTGCGCGGGCGCTCCAAGCAGCTGTGCCTGGAGCTGCGCGCCTGGGCGGGCGCCGCGGCG